TACTGAGAGAAGAAGTGGTAGAGTTTCCAACTATCACTGTGGCTTTGCACGTTTCTCCTTTCAATTCTGTCAGTTTTCACTTCATGCATTTTGAAGCTCTGATAAGTGAACACATATTTGGGATTGTTACATCTCGGTGAACTGTCCCTTTTATCATGCAGTGTACCTCTTTGTTCCTGGTAACTGTCTTGGCACATCTTTTCCACTCTTCTATTTTTAACCTGCCTATCCTATATAATAAAAGGGTAATATGCAAATTGACTGAATGGCATAACGACTGATCTTCATGACATGCACTGACCACCAGGGGGCAGATGCTCATTGCAGGAGCTGCCCCCTGGTGGTCAGTATGCTCTCACAGGAGGAGCACCACCACTCAGACACAAGCTGGGCTGACAGGTATTCAAATGCAGAGGTGGTGGCAGTGGCAGGAGCCTCTCCCACCTCTGCAGCAGTGCTAAGGATGTCTTACTGAGGCGTAGGCCCACTCTCCCTAAGCGATCAGGTCAGTCAGACATCCCCCAAGGACTCCCGGACTATGAAAGGCCAGGATGAGGGACTCCCCTCCCTCCTGAGTGTATGAATGTCGTGCACTGGGCCTCTAGTATTATTATATTTAATGTAGGTTTCTTGTATGTAGCCTGTGGTTAAATTTCTCTCACTGTGTTTTTGTTGTTGTTGTTGTTGTTAATCCTTGATGATATTTTTCTCCATTGATTTTTAGAGAGTGGAAGGGAGGGAAGGAGGCAGAGACAGAGAAAAAGAGAAAAACACTGATGTGAGTGAGACACATTGATTGGTTGCCTCTCACGTTTGCCCCAACCAGGGCTAGTGATGGAACCTGCAACACATGTATGTCCCCTTGATTAGGAATTGAACCAGAGACCCTTTGGTGCATGGGATGATGCCAGCCAGGGCTCACTGTGGTTTTAATTTGCATTTTCCTGATGACATATTATAGGTTGAGTATCTTTTCATATGCCTCTTGCTTTTTTAAAATATATATATATATATATATATATATATATATATAATTTGAGTTTTTAGAGAGGAAGGAAAAGGGTTAGAGAGTTAGAAACATGGATGAGAGAGAAACATTGATCAGCTGCCTCCTGCGCGCGCGCGCGCGCACGCACACACACACACACACACACACCCCTTACTGGGGATGTGCCTGCAACCAAGGTACATGTCCTTGACTGGAATCAAACCCAGGACCCTTCAGTCCACAGGCCAATGCTCTATCCACTGAGCCAAACTGATTAGGGCTGCCTCTTGCTTTTTAATGTATTTTTAATGCTTTTGCCCATTTAGAAAATTGATTTATCTATTTATTTCTTGGATATTCATGACTTGTTCATGATCTTAAGGGACAAGTGTTCACTATTCCGCCATTAAGGAGGATGATGTTAGCTTTAGTTTTCTCTTGTTGTCTTTTACCAATTTGAGGCATTCTCTTCTGTTCTTAGCTTTAGATAATTCTTTTAAAATCACGGGTAGGTTTTGAAATTTGTCAAATATTTTTTCTATATCTATTGATAGAGAAAGTTCCCGGGAGCGGAACGGTCTAGCTTGGAAGGCCGGTGGGTCAGGCGGCTCCCTGGATTCAGGCCCAGCACTCGCCGCCAGCGCCGGGGGCACCGCACTGCCCAGGCCCCGCGACGGCCGGACGGACCCGCAGCTTCAGGGGCCGCGGGGAGCCGCGTGGCCGCCCGGCTGGGACGTCCCGGCCTCAGAGCCGGGCCGCGCCTGTCTTCGGGGAACCCGCCTGAGCGGCCCCTCCAGGTGACGTCATGCGGTGACGCCATCAGCGGGCGCCCGCCAACCAACATGCCACTGCGCGGGCGGGGGAGACTGCGAGGAGGCCCGGAGTCCCGTAACCCGCCACCCAGGGGGCCGGAACCCTCAGCAACCCGCACCCCGAGGCCGGGGCGGGGGCTGGGGGTCCGCATGGTGTGGGAACCCGCACGGCACACAGGTCCCACGGGCTCAGTGTTGCCACGTGACTGGGGGGCTCGGTGTTACGCCGCTAGCTTCCCTGCCAGTTTTGCTAAACCAACCTGATACTATTTAAGCACCTTAAACGCTTAAATTAACCGCGAGGACAGCTTTCTGTTGCATAGGCTTCTTTCCAAGGGCAGCTTCTAGTTCTCGGCCACGTGGGGTGGTGCTTTTTATTCTAGGTTTGGACGCGGCCATCCTGAATTCTGTGAGGATGGGGACTCTGTTCTACAGCAAGCCTCTGAGCGAATAAATATGATCCCCATTTTACATCTACTCTCGGACTGTGGTGACATTTCCCCAAGTGGGACTGAGTCCATTCCCATGCTCCACTACACTGAATAAGAGAGAATCCGAGCTCACCTTTCACATGAGGAAGCCGCTAGGCTTCTTCATACCACACCCCATGCTTCTTCATACCACACGCTGTTCTTCATACCACACCCCATGCTTCTTCATACCACATGCATGCTTCTTCATACCACACACAATGAGTCCACAGGCCCAACAGCACATGCTGTTTGTGTACTTTTTTTTCTTCAAGTATAATTAAAAATGACAAGCGCCCACCTGTTTTCACATTGAACACATCCCCATGTCACATCCCCCAATTAGGATTCAGAACATGACCAGCACCCAGCAGTCTCTCCTGTAGTTACTACTCCATCCATCCCCCTCACACCAAAAGTAAACAAGGCCCTAATTGCTAACAAAACCTGGTTTTGCCTTTTGAACTGAGATGGGATCGTGCAGTGTGTCCTGGCCGAGTGTTGTTTTCCCCTCAACATGTGTGTGAGATGCACCTGTATCACTGTGTGTAGTTGTAGTTTGTGATGGACTAAGACTCATTCCTGTGCTGCTGCTGGCCAGTGGGTAGTGTCCAAGTTAGGGCTACTACGACCTAGTGCTACTGTTTACATATGTAATAGTGGGAACACATGTGCTCAATGCTGGGACACAGGGCATGCTGTTGTTCAGGTTTAGTAGATACTGCCTGTTCTCCAAAACTTGTCCTGATTTATCCTCTACCAGCAGGGTATGGGTTTTTGCTCATATCCTGGTCAACAGTTGGTACCATCTGCTTTTTGTAGCTAATGTCATTATTTTAAACTAATTTCCCCATTATGGCTCATAATACATAAGTTCACTTGAATAGTAGGACATAAGTATTTCCATTAAAAGTACTTTTAATCAATGATAAAGTGGTAAATGCTATATTTTAAAATGGGTTACTAAGTCACTACTTCTAAGTGATCTTTGTAAGAGGTAACCAAAAAGAAAAAAATGACAACCCATTTATGAAATCCTTATTTATTTTAAATATGTCTATAAGTTAGGAAATTTCCTGTGTCTGATTTATAGGGATGTGCTTATTTTTTTAACATATATTTTTTATTGTCTTCAGAGAGAGGAGAGGGAGGAGAGAGATTGAAACCAGAAAATCACTGATTGGCTGCCTCTTGCATGTGCCACACGGGATGAATTGGCAGCCCGGGAATGTCCTGATGGTGAAATCAAAACATGACCTCCAGGTTCATAGGTTGACATTCAATCACTGAACCATGCCAACTGGGCAAGGGATGTGCTTATTTTAAATGGAAAAGAATATAGTTTAAGTCTATGTTGAAGAAAAAATACCCCCCTACATAAATGTGTAACTATGAATAGTGATTTTTAAAAAGTTTATGACACTTGTTCACCTCAGGTAGAATGACTTCAATTATACATATTTTTGTTCCATATTCAGAGTTACAAGCATTTATTCCTGAGTCCTGGAACAGCATCATCATCAAAATTGCAGGTAAGGGGTTGGGGGTTGTTGAAACATGTATTTCCGTGAGTGAACAGTTTGTTATTTCTAAGGTACATGACTGGCATCATAACCTCTCTCAACCTTTTCATTGCCAATTTTTGCTACCATGGAAAAAGTCACTTCTCCATGAGATAATATTTTTAGGGGAAAACCAACACACATTTATGTAGGGCCAGGGGTAGGTAGCTAGAGGAGAAATAGTGACAGAACTGGGGACACAGAACCACAGTGTGAAGAGGCAGTAAGCAGAAAATGAGAGAACGATTAGGAGTGGCATAGGGTGGGTGAAACTACATAAGCACCTAGACAGGCCCAGGGGGGTGAGCAGCCTATACCCGAGATGAACAAGGGGCAGGGATGACAGAACATTGAGGTGAGAAAGGAGAGGGAGATGAGTGGATCAGGGTTCCACCTAAGTAATGGGAAACGCCAACAGTCAGGGGGCACCATGTGCCTTAAGAAACCTGCCTTGTCTCCAAGAGCCTCAGCTCCGGAGCCTCTTGGTAACTTGGAATGAACAATGGTGACTAGGATATTTCAGCAAACTGCAGCCCAGATGGGACAGAGCTCTCAGCACCTGCAGGCCAGTCCTTGAGGACTGCATTCACAGAATGAACATAAGGTTGGAACCAACAAAGCATAATGGCTCCAGGGAAATAGATAAAAATAAAGCTTTCTGTGGAAACAACTTTTCTGAATTTCCCTGTGTTAACATGGTGCTGCTATTAAATTGGCTAAGACAAAAAATTAATCTTTACAGGAACAAGCAAGAGCAGTGTTCTAGAAAATACCTCTTGCAAATCTACAGTAACCAGGGACATGGTCCTTCACTCTTGATTTTTACATATAGTTTGGATTTATCACTAAGCTCTATCCAAGAGGGTTTCTCCTTCACATGCACATTCCATATGCTCCAGAAAGTGCAAATGTCTTATATGCATCACTCTTACCTCAGTTATTTTTACAGCCTTTTCCTTTCCTGATCAGGTTCTGTAAAAAGACTCATAACCATGCCCAAGCCAACTCTGCTTTGCAGTTGTGCCACGGAAACTAGCATGGATTCCTTAAGAAACAAGGTATCTGCTTAAAAATGCTAATATATCGGGTTTGAACATGCAGATCTCTTGATGCAGTGAAAATGTATGGCAGGCAAGATATCCCTCGTCCTTTTAATAAAAGTTTCAAAGATGTTTAACATTTTATTTTAAAAATAAGATTGATTCATAAAGTGAAGAAGTGATTTCTATCCATCTTCAACAAGCTGTTGGGAACAGAGAGGAGAAAAAAAAAAAGAGAGAAATAATCATTAACTTCAAATTATCCTAAAGTTAAACTATGAACTACAAGCTCTGGTGTTAACGGTAAGAAAACGGACACCCTGAGCGCCTGCACAGCTCGGCTGAAAAAGCCACGACTGGGTGCAAGCCTCCTGACTTCAGGCCCTCTCCCTCTCCAGTCGGCCAGGCTGCCAGTAACCCAAGGGCCCCGGCTGCAGAGTACAAAACACAGCGCAAGGACGATGGTGCTAACAAGGACATTGCTGCAAAGACTGAGGAGCGGCGAAAGGGTGGCAGGGACATCTCGGTCCACTCTTTTTTCCTTTCGCTTTTCCCAGTATTTACATTTTAGGCTGAATGCAGCGACACTGCACGTGGTAAGGAATCCGCAGTAAACACGCGCCATGAACTAAGACACCGGTGCACGTTACTGGGGGAAAGCAAAGCTCCCTCCTCTTCTGGGTGTCCGCGGGAGCAGGCCGCCTCCTGTGAGCAGCCCCGACACCCGCCCCGCTCCCAGTGGCCCTCGGACTCGGAGCCTCTGTAAGCACTGCTCACCGGCCCTGCGGGGAGCCTGGCTCGGCGGCGGGCTGGGGGGCGCCTGGCTCAGGCGGGAGGCCCCGCGCGGGCCAGGCGAGGAGGGCGCGCGGCGAGGCGGGCGCGTTCAGGCCAGGTCCAGTTTCTTCTGCGTCACCGCCAGCTGGTCCTGCAGCCTCCGCTTCCTCCAGTCCAGGTAGCGCCTCCGCAGCCGGTTCGCCTGCCAGCCCACGAGCACCCCGGAGGCGAAGGCCAACAGCACGGACAGCTGCAGCTTCCTCTCGGACACGTCCGCCATCGCGGCCGCCGGCTCGCGGAAGGGCCTACGGCGCGCGGCGGGGCCCAAGGCGCGCGCTCCTGGGGGCGGAGGAGGAGAGCCCGGCGCCCCCTGCTGCGCGGTGACGGACCTGCAGCGCCTGTGACCGAATCTGTGACTTGGGACCTCCTGTGATCACTTTGTTACACAAAACTCCTTGCCAGACTGCAGACTCTCCTTGGGCTGGATGAGGTAAGCAGGCATGATGGAGAAGCTCAAATAGCAAAGCACCGATGAGGGCTCAGGGAAGGGCGGCAGCCCTAGCCAAAAGCTGGAGCCTCTGTCCTACAACCCATTGCCTACATACAACGTGAGTTAGCTGGGATTCTTTCCCAGCCCAGCCTCCAGTTACGGAGTCCAGCCTGGATTCTTCCCAGTAGCCTTGTGAGACCCTAATGGAGGATCTCGTGCCTGAACCCCTGACCCCTGAGTGTTCTGGTAATCTGTTACACAGCAATAGAAAACGAATCCAGGGTGGGAGAGGATGAAAAGGGTAAAGGGGTCAAATATATGGTGATGGAGGTGAACTAGACTATAGGTGGTGAGCAATGCAATAGACAGATGATGTATTACAGAACTGCATACCTGAAACCTATATAATGTCAGTGTGGACAAAAAAAGGAGCCACACACCAAACCTGACAAGCTCAACAGAGGCCTGCATGGTGGGTCTTACAGATTCAGAGATCAAAAGTAACCACATATGATGGTCTAAACTTAAAAATCCCTAATGAAAATAAGTCGTGGGGATTAGTCTCATTCTAGACCTGTAGCTTCCCAGACAAAGGTCAAACTTTACGTGAAGTGAGCCTGCCTGTTGTCTTTTGCATTTAAGATAAGATACCTTTGGAATATCAGAGAAACTCCCTTTTTTCAGACCCCTCAAGGGACAGCCTTCTACCTGAGCACAGACCACAGAACCCTACATTGTTATCTGCTCTCTGCACACTATCTGTGCTGTAAATGTTACCTGTCCTGCACTCTCCAATGTAAAAAAGAAAAGTTTGCCCCTAGCCAATTTGGCTCAGTGGGTAGAGCATTGGCCTGCAGACTGAAGGGTCCCAGGTTTGATTCCAGTCAAGGGCACATTCCTGGGTTGCGGGTTTGATCCCTGGTTGGGGGTGTGCAGGAGACAGCAGATCAGTAATTCTCTCTCATCATTGATGTTTCAGTCTCTCTCTCTCCCTTTCCCTTCCTCTCTGAAATAAATAAAAATATTTTTAAATAAGAAAAATATTTTTAAATAAGAAAAGCTCATTATCCAATCTGAGAGTTTTCTGTTTTGTTTTCTCCTGCCTCCCTAATCTACACCAGTGAATTTCATGTAACACCCCTCTTACACTTCTTTCTTTGATTTGTATAAAATAAACTGCAAAACTGCCATTCTTTGGAGTATTTTTCAATCCCTTGAGATTTTGCTTCCCAGCAATTGTCATCAGTTTGGCTCTGCAGACATAAAGAAGCCACATGCTAACCTGACTAACTCAGGGAAGACTGCGTGGTGGCCTTGCAAACTCTAGAGACCTAAAGTAACCACAAAAGATGGCCTGAAATTAAAACTTTTTAACTAACAGCAGTTTATGGCAGGTAGTCATGTCCTAGGCTAGATTCTTCCCTGACAAAAGTCAATCTTTACCTTAACTAAGCCTGACTTCTCCTGCATCTATGATAATATATCATTGGAATCCCTGGGTAACTTGTAACTTCCCTTTTTCCGGACCCCTAAGAACAACCACTGCACCAGGGATCCAGGATGAAGACAGCAGATTCCCTCACTGTTACTATTACCTTGTCATTGTTGGCTGTTAACTATCCTGTATGTCTATCATTTTACTTTTTATCCAGTCCCAGAGTCCCCATCCCCTTTGCTTCTTTTTCCCCCTAATCTATCACCAATTGATTTCATGTAACCCTCCTTTGATTCTAATGTATAAAAAAAATAGGAAAAATTGTCATTCTCCAGAGCACTATCTCAATACATTGAGATTCTGCTTCCTGGCAATTGTTGACAGTTTGGCTCAAATAAACTCACAAAATTCTTTACAGGTTTGAATGTTTTCTTATGTTAACAACTCAAATAAAGTCATAAAAATTATTTACAGGTTTGAAAGTTCTTACATTGAGATTAACCAACTAGAAACCTGGTGCACAAAATTTGTGCTGGGGGTGTGTGTCTCTCAGCCCAGTGTGCACCCTCTCCAATCTGGGACATCCCTCTCATAATTCATGACTGCTGGCTTCCACCTGCTTGCCTGCCTGCCTGCCTTCCTGATTGCCCCTAACCACTTCTGCCTGCCAGCCTGATCACCCTCTAACCACTTTCCTGCCAGCCTGATTAACGCCTAACTGCTCCCCTGCCAGGCTGTTTTCCTCTGCCAGCCTGGTCTTCCCTAACTGCCCTCCCCTGCAGGCCTGGGTCCCCTAACTGCCCTCCCTTGAAGGTCCTGTCGCACATTCATATACACCCACTCACAACCATTTATACATATAGACATTCACAGTCACACACACATTCCTTCATATATACTTATGCACATGTTTACATTTTCAGTCACACATTCGTACATTCACACACAGACACAATCATTCAAACACATTGACACACATAGGCACATACACACTTTCAGAGTCGTTTACACACATATTCGGTCACATACACTCAGTCACACACACACACACACACACACACACACGTGTGCGCGCACAGGAATGAGAGAGAGAAGTGGGGAGGTCTCTGCTTCTCCAGGAGCTCAGAATTGTGAGGTTCCAGGGGCAGGAAACGGGAGTCGGAGACCACAACCTGTTAAAGGAGGAAGTTTATTCCGCACTAAGGAGTGAGACTCATTATGGAGGAGGTAGAGGAACCAGGATTAGAGAAGGGGGAGAAGAAAGAGGGACCCAAACTGGCAGACTTGCAGACTGAGATTTGGAGAGAGAACAGTCTGGGAGAACAGCAGCATATGGAGTGGAGATGCCTTTTGAGGGGGAGGGACAGGAAGGGGTTGGCCCCAGGGCACTTGGCGCTCGCTGATTGATAACTGGTAACTGCTCTGGGCTTTTTCCTGCCCACAGCCACCCGCTCAGCTGCCACTGAAGAGGAATCTGGGCTCTTCAATCACCAGGATGGAAGGTGCGGAGACCACAAGGGGCTTGTCCTGGCTGCTTTGGTGTAGTTCCAGGAAGCACACTGCAGGTTGGCCTTGGCTCCCCACCTGCTACACTGACAGCAGAGGCACCTCCCCTCCTGTCCTCTTGGTCATTTTGTGCTCTGTCCTTGAGAATCCTGGCTACTGGTCATCATGTGGTCCTTGGGCTATGCTGGTGTTCACAAGTGTGTGGACTGACTGGGTGAATGAAACAACTATACTGATTTTTGAAAAAGAAAAATGGGGAGTGAAAGATCAATTTGTTGTTAATCTAAATTTTATACATTATTTGGTTGATTTTTGCATGTGCCCTGAATAGAGAAAACCTGCAATTTTGGCATTATTGAGATGATGCTCTGAACTATCAAGACAGGACCAGACATTTTGGGGATTTTAAGTTAAATAAACAACTAATGTAACTGAGGATAGATAGAAACAAGAACCACCATGATGGCAGATAATGAAGGGAGGCTAAAATAGGATTCACGGAGTTTCACAAGTGTTTTCTCTATGTAGATAAAGAGTGTCACCCTATGAACGAGGTCATGGCTTGATTCCCGGTCATGGCACATAGCAGGCTGCAAGCTCTCTCAACATTAATGTTTCTATCCCTCTCTCCTTTACCCTCTCTGAAATCAATAAAAATATATATTTTAAAAGTCAAGAAAACAGACCTCATGTAAAAAAAAAAAAAAATATGTCCCACCCCGTTTAAGAGTGACAGATAAGTTTATTTCACATGTGATGTTTCACACCTTTATATCTGTGACAAGGCTCACCAAATAGTACTCATTAAAAAAGTGCAGTCTGTTGCATGTCAGTTCTCATTTCCTGGGAGGAACAGCCTTGCCTCAGTGGCAGCAAATCTTGGCAAGCAGTGAAGACTGTTGCTTTCAGAATCAACAGGAATGCTGACTGGTCACAAAAGATACATCCCAGGACTTATTACAGGACTATCTTTTTTCTTGCTTTGAGTTCTTGCCTGTTGAGAAAACCTTGAGGTGAACACCCTACAGAGGCCAGGGGAATCTACAAAACCGTTGGATCATTTTCTCTGTTAATGACTTCAGCTACAGGAAAGTTATGGAGGTCCTGAGAATGTCTTTACACAAAGATCACACAAGCCACAGGCCCTGGGACATTTGTGGATCTGCATTCAGAAGAGGCATTTTTCATCTACTTTAGTACAGTCTCTCCCATCACTATGAAAACAGAGTTTCTCTATCAATATTAGTTTCATTTCAGTCTTACAACAAATGACACCAGCCTATGAAATTTCCTACACGGCTCCTTTGCAGTACGTGGATGACTTCCCCTTATGTAATACATACTGTGCACAGATAATATGATTCACACTGTTCACAGAAGCACAGCCTTCTCACTGACCTCCCGAATAATTGAGGTACCAGACTGCAACTTAGAACCACAAAGTCATGCAGTCTTTCTTTCAAGGCCATGGGCAGCAATGCAGAATAAGCCAATATTGGACTAGGTGATTTTTTGCCATCATGTTGTGCCTTCCAAAGGACAGAAAATTTGAGATCCCCATATCTGTTCACCTCTACATGCTCTGTGTTTACAATTGTGCTTTCAAATCATCCCAGGGAGTGTACAGAACCATAAAATTTAAGTTACAAAAGAAAAATACACCTTTGTGAAAGGATCATAAACCAGACCAGTATACAGCAAGCAGTTTGCAAGCTGGTGAATTAGAACCTGAAACAATTCATCACAGCATGAAGTGAGAACCACAATGTCCCTGATGATGGGTATTCTGGATGAACTCTGGGTCTGGTCAATTCCCTAGTCAGAGAATGGAATGGAAATCCTGCCAAGAAATAGAAGTTTTCATAATTTCATCAAGTAGAAGTGATAAGACATAATTGATTTTCCCTGAGCAAACAGGGGTTTTCACTGATGCACACTGCTCAAGTGAGCCAGGTGGTAGAAGTGAAATCACTTCAGCCACAAGTACTCACAGTGATATCAATTGGGTAGTAGGCCTGGGCAGGTTAGCAAGTGCAATGCAGCTCCTTAAAGCCTCACTTGTACCTAAAAATTATGAGGAACCTAGCAGAGAATTTTTTCCATTAAAAGAGATTTATATTTTAGTAAATGGGTGTCAAAGAGTCTCTTTCAATACTGCTATTCTGAGTGACAATAATAAAACACTCCTTGCACATTTAAGGACTTTCTCCAGAATGAGCTCTCAGGTGTCTAAGTATGCTAGGTTTGTGGCTAAAAGATTTCCCACATTCACTACACTCATAGGGCTTTTCTCTAGTGTGAACTCGGCAGTGTTTAATGAGGTGAGACCTTTGATTGAAGGACTTCCTACAGTCACTACACTCATAGGGCTTTTCTCCAGTGTGAACTCTGAGGTGTTTAGTGAGGGTAGATCTTTGACGGAAGGACTTTCCACAGTCACTACACACATAGGGCTTTTCTCCAGTGTGAACTCTGTGGTGTTTAGTGAGGGTAGATCTTTGACGGAAGGACTTTCCACAGGCACTACACTCATAGGGTTTTTCTCCAGTGTGAACTCTGCAGTGTTTAATAAGGTGAGACCTTTCACGAAAGGCCTTTCCACAGTAAGTACACTCATAGGGCTTTTCCCCAGTGTGAACTTTGTAGTGTTTAATGAGGTGAGACTTTTCACGGAAGGCCTTTCCACAGTAAGTACACTCATAAGACTTTTCTCCAGTGTGAACTCTTTTGTGTTGACTGAGCGTAGAACTTTGGCTGAAGATCTTTCCACAGTCACTACACTCATATGGCTTTTCTCCAGTGTGAACTCTTTGGTGCTGAATGAGGTTAGACTTATTTCTGAAGAACTTCCAACATTCACTACACTCATAGGGCTTTTGTCCATTGTGAACTCCCTTATGTTGAATGAGATTAAACATTTGTCTAAAACCTTGCCCACATTTGTTACACTCATAATTCACTTCTCCAGAGCAGACACCCAGATGCTGAACAACCTTCTGGTAGATGTTAGCAGCTTTTTCACATTCAACACACTGATGACAATTTTTTCCACCAAGAAATTCAAGGGAAATCTCACTGCTACTGTGTGGCTCCTCAGTGCTAACAGTGGCCTGGTGTTGGAGAATATCTGAGATGGCTGGCAAGTCTTTGCCAACCTCCGTACTAGCTGAAGGCACCCATGTTAAATAGAAGCTGCACCTGGACACAAATGAGGCCCTGTCCATATCTTCTTCCCACGGCTTCTCTCCACTGGCATCTCTCTGCTGCTGATGACAGTTTGCACTGGAAAATAAGTCTTTCACAGATGTGTCACTGAAGAAGGCTTTCTGCTCACAGTATGCTGCTTGTGACTCAGTCAGGTGCAAAATATGTTTTAAAACTGAGAAACACCACTTACACAGACAGGTTTTCTGGGCAGCTGGAGCTGTCTTAGAAAACCTGACCTGTGGCTCTTCTCTTACAGATACACTCTGTTCAGGGGGCATCTTCTCCTCATCCATTTTATGCCAACAACCTGAAAACAAAGAAATGGTGATGAACTGAATGTTAACTGTAGTGACAGGGGGAAGTAACATTCCAAAAGTGTTACACATAACATGTTGATTCCATGCAATTGTCTAAAAATAAGAGACACACTGGAAGGATTAATAAGAAGCTGCTGTGAAGCTCTGGGCCTCTGAATATCACAAAACAGAAGATCTCATGTGAAATGTGATGCCAGGATGGAAAGTACCACATGGAAGAGAAGCAGGATCTCCAGTTCATTCTTCTGCTAACAGTGCTCAGTATGGCTTGTCAGCTGGTTATATGGGCAAGTTGTGTAGGAGGTTGGTTATGTCTCATTTATTTCATGTAAAATTCCGCAAATGTGTAACCGGTGTTCAAGGACCACTAAAGAATGTATGTGCACCTCAGAACACATGTGCAGGTCAATGTCTGAGAATACTGCAGGAAGAGCAGTACAGAAGATCAATGATGCAAAAATACCACAAAGATGCAGTTAGTGAAAGCCAGCAAGCCATATATGAAATGACAAGTCAGCAAAATGTCAAGTACTGCACACAAAAAAGGTAGAAATGAGGTGTTGCCAATGGCACTTTCACCTAAAGACTGCTGGAAATGAGCAGGTCCCCGATTATCATCTGTACACAGCCCTTATGTCATACCTTCCCCCAACTGGCATTCAACAGAACCAGGCTCCTCTGAGAACATCTTGCAAGTTTACTCTGTGGAACAAATCAGGGTTCTCCCTGTACCTTCTACTGTACAAGTACATAAAAGGTAAATACTCTGAGTATTAACGAAAGACAACAGAGGTGAGCAGTCTGCACTGGCTCAGAGCTATTCAGTTTACCAATAGTATTCAGGAAAGGGAATAATACAAACAAAAATTGAAAGAGGGTCTTACAAGAACAGCCATGGTTCATGTAAGTGAAAAACATAATTAGGCACAGTCACAAAGAAATTTTAGCTAGAGGAAAGAGGTAGAAATGGAAGCCATGGATCTAGACACAGTCACCCTCTCAGAGAGAAGAATATGTGGAAACCTTTAAGCTGCCTCTAAGACTACTGACTCCCAGACTCTTCCTCCACTTTCTGAAGAAATTTGTGTTAGGAATGTTCAGAGTCCATTGCTCAGGGCTCTCCACACAGCTCAGTGTTGGCATCCAGAGCACATTTGACAAACAGTGGGGGAAATTAGCAGAACTCATGGTCTGGCTGTGGAAGAGAGAAAGCTACAAGGAGAATAAAGGAAGAGAGGACAACTCTTTAGGACACTAGGAGAGATGTGAAGGTCTTACCTACTGATGATAGAAGTGCAAAAACTTCCAGCATCTCTTCGCAGTACAGAAGTCTCTGATCCTCATCAAGAAGCCTCCATTCCTCCTGAGAGAAGGCAATAGCCAAATCCTCAAAGTTCATATCCTATTAATGGGGTCAATTCAGTCCATGATTAGCATCTCTCCTAGGATTTTACATTGGTCATACTCCTCATCTGTCTGCTCCCTCTACACCCCCATCAAAGAAGATATCAGGCTTAGGCCCATCAAAATCACTCTCTTCTTATATTCCTACTGATACTGTGCCTTCCACCAACAATAAGGTCAGATGAACACACTAATGATACCTGAACTCTAAGCCTGACATGTAGGCCACACTGCCTCTTATCAATACAGTGGGTTTCACAAACATAAGTTGGGAGAGATGTTGGCCATAAAGATAACGTGAGTGATATTACACTGGTTTTGGGTGGCAATGCTTCTGTAGTCCCCCAGATTTTCTCTCCAAGGCACCAAAAAACACGGCATCGCATTTCAACCTTCCCACCCTAATCCAGGGGGCTAAGGCCATCACTTTGTAGTAACTACTGCATATAATTATTTGTGCCCCACGTCTCTCCCACGGCTTCATTCCCAGAAGGACAAATTCAAAAGTATCACAAATATGCCATGAGGAGGACAGATGGTTTTCTAATCAGCTTCTTTTCCAAAATTCTAACTCACCACTTCTGTAATATATTACTGTCTTACCCTCTTCCCTTCTCCATGCCAGTGGAGATTTTCAAGCCAGTGTCACTGATGTAGGCTATCTAATTCTTGTTGATCACTGTGTCAACTCTCTACAACAAATGGCATATAGGCACACACGTATGGCATCTAAGCTCTGAATCTGACAAGTAGCACAACATCCCCTCTTTACAGAAATGACCTTAAAATTTTCCATGTTATGGCATCCAGACATCACCAAAATGGACACACAATTCATTCTCTTATGTCAATGTCAGATCCCTGCATCAATGAATTCACATTCCATCTTCAAATTCACATCACTCTTTCTATCATACGTCTCTCACACCTCCATTCCCACAGCCACAGCCCCCATAGTCATCTCCTTGTTTTCTTGCTCATTACTCAGCATGGGTGCCAGTGAATTTTAAATCTGTTCTAACAGGATGAAGTGCTACCCTGACTCTTGATATTCTACACTTATGTAAGTATCCTTAAAAAAAAAAAAATATATATATATATATATATATATATATATATATATATATATATATATTATTGATTTTTTACAGAGAGGAAGGGAGAGGGATAGAGAGCTAGAAACATTGATGACAGAGAAACATCTACCAGCTGCCTCCTGCACCCCCCCTCCCCACACTCTGGGGATGTGCCCATAACAAATGTACATGCCCTTTACTGGAATTGAACCTGGGACCTTTCAGTCCGCAGGCCGATACTCTATCTACTGAGCCAAACCGGTTTTGGCTGGAAGTATCCTTGAGTACTGTTAAAAATGCTGTCCTCGATTGTTTTTTCCTTCAACCTCACCTTTAAGAACTACCTCAGATCTCAGATATCCAGAACTCACCTCCACTGGTGCTACACTCATTATCTCTTCACTAGTGACAGCATTTATCTCCCACTTAACTGTCACCCAAATTCCAGCCTGGTAACTCCAGGCCCAGTGAGTCTCACAGCTGACCACCAGTGTTCCTAGACTAATCCGTCAGGCTGACCACAACACCTCAGGCCATTCAAAAGGCCACAATAAAATACTGGTCAATGTTTAAGAAGTAAATAAACATCAGCCTCGGGTTCATCTCTGAATTACTTTTTGGCCTCCAATTCATCTGGCAATGAAGCACCTTTCATGGGTTTTAGTCACAGCCAAATGAGAATATCTCCTCCACCATGTAGCTGACTACTTCTGTCCCTATGATATGCTGTGACACCCAACTCCCACAAACAGGAAACCCAGTCCTCAGGGTGACTCTTGCCTTCCTGAGCTACCATTATCATCCCGAATGATTCCCCATTTTATTTATTTATTAAAAAAAAAATACTTACATTGATTTAAGAGAGAAAGAGAGAGGAAGAGAGAAACATCAATGATAAGAAAGTATCACTGATCAGCTGTCTCCTGCACGCCCCCTACTGGTGATTGAGACTGCAACTTGGCATGTGCCCTTGATTGGAATCATATCCAGGACCCTTCAGTCCACAGGCTGACATTCTTACCATTGAGCAAACCAGCTAGGGAATGATTCCCCATTTTAAAGTGATCTAAAGCCCATGTTGGTGTCGCTCAGTTGAGCATCAACCCATTCACTGAGAAGTCACTAGCTGGATTGAGCCCTGGTCAGGTCTCTTTCCCAGGATTCTTGCTTAATTTCCAGTAAGGGGCCTGCAGGAGACAACCAATCCTTTGATCTTGCTCATTGGGTTTCTCTGTCTCTCTCTCTCTGCCTTCCTCTCTATCTGTAAATTCAGAAAGTATATATATATATATATATATATATATATATATATATATTTATTTTTAGAAAAAGGTGATCTATAGCTCCACTCAGGTCCACTATCTTTTAAGAACTTTTCATTCTGAATTGCTCCTCAGAGTTCCAGACTCTCGTGAACTACCCCCTGAAGTATGTTATACCCTAAAGGCAAAAAACAAAGGAACAAAATCACACACACACACAAAAAAAAACACTCCAGAGTTGTTATATCCCCAAAGAACATTAACCTACCTATAAATTTATCTATCTCAGTTGATGATGCTTCCATTTCTCAACTGCTAAATCCCAAACCTCCCATCATCCCTGACTCTTACGGCTATCTCTCAACCTCAAAATTCGAAATCCAGGTGGCCACACCTAAGACACTAATCCATAATTCAAAGGCTTCCTCCATCCACAAACCTGTACCTGTAAGTGAGTGTGCATTTGCAGAGATCTATAGAAAGATAAAGGGCTATAGAGAGCTTGGCAAACACCGCCAGGATCCATGAGCTTGGCCACTAATACCCTTTCCCAGCCTTGGGGTCAGGTGATCTAGAGATGACTGTATTACCTCAGGCCTCAGTGCACACGCTTGCCAAGTTTGTTATCTATAAAAGGACTTCTCCTACCTGTCCCCAACAGGTATCCTCTCTCTTTTAGTTTGTTCTTCCTCTGAGCAGTTTTGGGAAACCTTTAGAATCCTACCTCAGACAAAGTCCCTCTTGGTTCACAGCCATTGATGGCTCCCGCTTCCTGAAAATGAAGTTAAAACTACTCTGGCAAAACGTCGCCTCATCTTCTCTGTTGCATTTAAACACAAAGCAGGCCCAGGATTCCCGAATCCTCCCAGCTCAGCCACACCAACCCAAACCTTACACAGTGGCATTGCGGCCTGTCACCCTCTTCCAACCCGTCACACTGCACGTCACCCACAAGAGACTCACGGTTCTGGACGCTGCAGCCACAGACGCCTGGACCCAAGGATGAAGGCTAAATAGGTGAGGCTGAGCTGAAGTCTGTAAGCAAAACGGAATCTGGGAGGCACGGAGGCCTTAATTCCGCCTGGTGCAGTTAATCAAGCCTCAGACACAACACTGCACAGCGGGGACATTGCTTCTGGTGCCTATTCCTAATTGGTACTCTGAGCGCCAGAGCCTCTCACTACCATAAACAGAACAAAGAGTTCAAAATGACCACCAGGAAAAAGACACAGGAAGTCACTCCCAAACCAATAATGCGCTGGTCCTGGACTTTCATTGGCTAAACCCAGCCATCAGTAGGCGCATTGCCCTTTGGGTAATGTAGTTTTTCGGACCCCACAAGTGGCATTAGGATGCCACTCACTCACTCACTGATCATTGAAAGTATTGGTGTTGGTGGGCCTGAGTGGTGTCGGGAAATGACAACTTTAGGTTTTGGGGAATGGTCACAGGTTTCTGGGACGTGTTGTCTGCAACAGATTTCTTGTTTTGAGATATTATTGCAGATTCTGTGAAGCTTAGAGTCCTCAATGAGTGAAAAGTATTATTTTAATTATTCCTTGAAGACTACAAATTTAAAACTATATATATATATCATTTTCTTTTCTTTTACTTTTTGAGACAGAGAAAATGAGAGGGAGAGAGAGAAATATGGGTCAGCTGCCTCCTGCACACCACCCACCCAATCACTAGGCATTAAGCCAGGAAACCTGACTTGTAATCAAACTGAGCCATTCCAGCTATCAGCATTTTTATTTTTAACATAAAACATCACATTATTAAGAGAAAAAGAAGGCTATGAGAGAATATACTTAATCCTATTCTTATCATTTTACAACAAAATTTGAAAGGATACTAAGGCCAACAAGTTCACATTTTGTACAATGTTAGTTTGTCATCAGTACACATTGTAAAGTTATGGAGCTAGCTGTTACTGAACATTTAACACATGTGCCAGGCCCTGTGCTCAGTGCTTTACATGCATTATTATTTCATTTAATCTTCTCCACAACCTGAGATAGTTTAACCATCTATTTTATAGAGAAGAAATTCAGGCTCAGAGACTCAAGGTAAATTGCCTGATTGTAGAGTTAATAAAAGGCAGGGCTAGAAGGCAAACTGTGTGTCTCTAATAACGGGGTTCTGGCTTCTAATGTTAGACTCTGCTGCCTCCTGCAGCTTAGAATAAGGGGTGGGGAGTCTGTAACAGTCCGGGTCCACAGTGCCTACCCCTTCGCTCCTTACAGGTGGTGCCCACCCTTAACTGCTACCTTTCATAAAGTCTGATTCAAGTTTTCATCCCTACATGCTTCCCTAAATACACTCACTCTAGAACCCTGCCCCATGTGCTGTCAGTAAACCCCCACTCCCACACTATCCAAGGCCCCAAACCTCTCTGCTCCATCAAACACACACCACAGTAGCTGACTGTCCCCCAGAGTCCTGGGTCCTTCATCTCACTACGGGAGCAGGGGTCTGCTCTGCCAAGGCCAAACATGACGAGGGAGGACATCAGCCACAATGCATCCCCACAATGTGGTATCATCTTGAGACCCAACAGGCCTTCTGGAAAGCCTTATGTTGAAGACTATTCTTACCACTGAAAAAAAATGCAGCACCATATTTTTATTTTTTTTATTTTTTTTTTGAGAATCCATGGTACCTCCATGACTGGCTAGAGAAAGAGGCCTTTGTTTTTAAATAAATCGAAGTGGAAAATTATACCAAGAAATAATAAAACAGAGACTCATGTTATACCAGTGTTGCTCAGGGGTATGTGTGTGTGCTGGCCAGAAACAGGACTTTCCAAAAATGAACTTATTTGTGAGCCCAAAGCATCCAGGGACTACAGTGGGACAGGTACCTGAGCCATGGGAAGAGTATCCTTGAGAGACCTCTGGCTGGAGACAGAAGAACCCTGACCAGGCTCCTCTCAGGTAGCTTCAGGCTCCTCTCTGCCAACCCCTGACAAGAACAGGCTATGCCCCAGCATTAGTGGGGACATCCAAGATAAAGGCAAGAAAGAGTGGGAGTGGGGCATGTAAGCAGAAGCCCCGTCTCAGTGCAACAGGGTGGATGTTTAACTATGAAGGAAGGACCAGGGCATTTTCTCTCACAAGAGCTAAAAATGTATGCAACCCCCTTCAGTGGTTAAAGTTCAAGACCCTTGCCACCCAGGAAAGGACCTTCCAGCTCAGCAGCCAGCAACCTCTCCTAATGGGCAGAAAGAGAATCAGCCTCTGCAGAGAGAGTTCTTTCCCCTCCCCTGGCAGATCAGTGGCCGGACTTTATCACAGTGGATTGGGTGCACCTGCCTGAGTCACCAGTTTTCCTGGAGCACATGCTGATGCCCAGGTCATGACACCTGGGGAACACTTGTAGAAGCTCTTGCTCCATTTCCCATCAAGCATGGCCCCAAAGAACAGAGTGGCCACCAGGTTGAACCTTAACTAAAGAGGGCCCCAGCAATACACATATACCTCTTCCCTCCCACCATCTCTCTCTGGCAATGGCCCTGCTTTTTCTCCTGCCCATACACATGCCAGGCTGCCACTGGGGCACCCATCCTTGACTCCCAAGAGGAATCTGGAATCCTCAACTACCTGAATTGGAACAGCTCAGTCTCAGCCCTGGCTGGAAGGTGCAGAGACCACAGGGGGGCACGTCCAGGCCCAGAGCTTCTCCAGGCCTTTTTGGATTCAGCCTCAGGGAGCATAGATGTCATCATTCTCTGTGGGTAATTGTACAGCTCGGCCCCCATTTCCAATCCCCAACATTGACAGCAGGGACACCTCTCCTATTCTCTCCATCACTGTGCGCTCTGCCCTCATGAGAACCCTAGCTACTGGTTCACTATGGGGATCCCTGGACTATTCTGGTGTTCACGTGTGTGGACTGATTGGGTGAAAATAAACCCCAGCAAATGCATCAGGCCTCTAGTATCTAAATAGAGCTTTAAAAAGTGGTTCCAACTAAACATCTAGATATCCCCGTGTTGTTAGAAAATTAATGTCAACCCTATATGGACTCTACATCTCTTTTTTCATTTATTATGAGGAACAGCCTTGTCACAGTGGCAGCAAATACTGGCAAGCAGTGAAGACTGTTGCCATTGGAATCATCAGGAATGGGACTGATTATAGAATTATCTTTCCACTAGTTTTGAGTTCTTGCCTGTTGAACAGTAACCTTGAGGTGAATATCCTAGAGAGCCCAAAGGAATCCACAAAATCATTTTATTTTTTATATGTCAATTACTTCAGCTACAGGAAACAGTTATGGAGGTCCTGAGAATGCCTATACACAAAGATCACACAAGCCACAGGCCTTGAACAATAACATGCAGAGAGGCCCTTTTCATCTCCTTCACTGCAGTCTTTCCCACTCACTATTAATACAGTGTTTCTATCCCAGTTTTGGTTCCACTTAATCATCAGAGTCTTACAACAAATGACAACAGCCCGTGAAGTATTGCACATTTGTGTCATATGGCTCCATTGCAGCACCTGGAGAGAAATCCCCAACATTACTGATACGTAAGACATGTTATTAACAGAGACTATTCATATTGTTCACAGAAGTACAACAAAGGCCTCTTCTTCTGGTGACCATTGATATCACCAGTAATTGAGGCAACAGGCAGAAAATTAGAACCACAAAGTGTGCAGTCTTTATTCAAGGTCTTGGGCAGCAATGTAAAATAAGCCAATTTTGGACAAAGAGTGATTTTCTGCCATCATACTGTCCCTTCTGAAGCACAGAAAATTTGAGGACCCCCAATATATGTCCATTTTTACATGCCAACAGATCACAACTGTGCTTTAGAATCATCCCAGGAAGTGAATAGAGCAAAAAATATTAAAGGTAAAATAGCAAAAACATCTTTACTAAAAGACCATAAACCAGAGCAGAATACAGCATATTGTTTGCAGGTTGTTAAATTAGAACCTGAAACAATCATCACAGCATAAATGTGAAAACCACAATGTCCCTTAAAGAGGTAGCACTTCTTAGCTGAGGACGGGTGTTATGGGTGGACCTGGAATCAGGTCCATTTTCTGAGAAAGATCAGTTTTCATCATCTTCAAGTATAAGTGAGAACACAGAATACATTTTCCCTGAGCACACAGAGGTTGTAAGTGACGTACATTCTTCAGGTGAGCCAGGTGGTAGAGGTGAAATTGCTTCAGCCACACATAATCTCAGTGCAGGTTAGCTCCTCAAGCCTCACTTGTACCTGAAAGTTGTGAGCAATCTAGCATAGTGCATGTTGCAATAAGAGGGGTTTATATCCAGTTAAATGAATATGGAAGACTCACATTTAGTGCTGTTATGAATGAGAAAGATAAAACATTCCCTGTGCATTTAAAGCTTTTTCCAATTTGAACTCTCAATTGTCTAAGAAGGCTAGGTTTGCGGATCAAAGGTTTCCCACACTCACAACCCTCATGAGGCCCTTCACAATTGTGACCTCTGTGGTGTTCAATGAGCATAGACCTTTGGCTGAAGGACTTCCCACAATCACTACACACATATGTATTTTATACAGTGCGAACTCTCTTGTGGTCTAGGAGTCCTTTGCAAATAAAAGATTTCTCACATTCACTTTACTCATAAGGTTATTTATCCATGTGAACACTCTAGTGTTGAGTGAAGGTATACCTTTGACTGAAGGACTAACCACAATCAATACAACTATGTGGTTTTTCTCCAGTGTGAATTCTGTGGTGCTTAGTGAAGTAGACCTTTGACGGAAGGCCTTCCCACAATCACTACATTCATATGGCTTTTCTCCATGTGCACTTTGTGGTGGTGAGTGAAGTTAGACTTATTCCTGAAGGCCTTCCCACAATGACTGCAGTCATATGGCTTTTCTCCAGGGTGAATTCTCTGATGATGAGTGAGAGAAGAGATTTGCCTGAATGATTTCCCACAATCATGGCATTCATTTGATTTTCCTTCGGTATGTACTCTGTGGTGTTAAAAGAGATTAAACATATCTAAAGGACATCCCACAATCAGTACACTCATAGGGCTTCTCGGATATGAACTCTGTGATGTTGAAGGAGGTTAAACTTATTTGCAAAGAACTTCCCACAAACAGCAAACTCATAGGGCTTTTCTCCAGTGTGAACTCTCTTCTGTCGAATGAAATTAAACATTTCTCCACATTTGTTAAACTCATAACACACTTCTCCAGAGCAGACACCCTGATTTTGAACAACTTTCTGGTTGAGGCTGGCAGCATTTTCACATTCA